ATACTATCTTANACAACAAACGAANAGCGATGAAAATAAGACTTCTCATGGTATACAAACATGTTATGCAAAACGTAACTCTGATTTTAGCAAACCTTTTCAAATACTGATTTTAAATGTTTTCCTATCACTACACAAACGTGATAAATTAAAAGCACTACATATGATAAAAATTTATGATATAATGAGGAAAATGAAGTTGGGGAATAAAACAAACGTAAACAAACCTTTAACTCTTTTGTTAATGCATATGTTATTAAAACTGTGAATGAACTAAAGAGTGGAGCAAGAAACACACATATTTCTCGCACATGTAATGTGAAATGAACAAAATGCAGCACGCGATGAATCAAAGCACTTGTTATCATTAAGCCTAAATAAATATTTCATCGGTAAATCAAAATACATATTTTTTCACTGTAAAAATTTGGAAAAAGTTATAACTTGTTTTTAAATTTTCGGATAGACTAACTTTTCTAGAGCCCAAAAAGCAAGTGAATTCATAAAATGGAATACCTCGAGACTCGGATGAGAAAAGAAGGCGGAATCAAAAGACCGAAATAAAGTAAAGACGTACCAGGATATATTGTACCACCAATAATCCTCCCTAGCGGATACCATGCCTGATCGTCAAACCAATTATGGAAATTATAGTACCCTTCATCAGTCAGATATCGAGTAGTTCGATAGTTGAAATAAGGGTCAAACTGCAACATTAAACACTTAATATAAAGACATCGGTGTTCTATCTTTTAGAAGCCTTCCGGAATTGTGAAGTTCGAAATATTAGGACAGAAAATAAGATGGCTAACTTACCTCATGAATGACTGATTCGAATCTGATCACAGCGAAAAGTCGGCTGGAAAAAAAAAGGAAACAAATTTATGCACAAATGGTAAAATGTCATTTAAATATTGACTGACGTTGCGTGAAGCGATAACAAATAAGTAGATTTAGGTTAAATGCATCAAATAAAATGCCTTCATATAAACCGAAATAGATAATCAGTTATTAAATAAAAAAAATTCTTCCCTACGAACCTTGAAAAGGAGACCACAGCTGCTAACGCTAGAATCGAAATTTTAAGAAAAGTCTCTTGTTTGTCGTGCGTTAACCTCAGCAATCTGGCAACGCTCATCGACATAACTGCAATTTCATCATGTCAAAATACTGCCAAATATATTAAAGAAAACAATACGAGAAAATGAAGTACTTAACACGCATAACATTTAACAGCTACCAAGTGTTGGTCATGTGTAGGTTTTGTTTAGTGTATGATTTACCTGTTCGATGGAGTAACTGATCTGTCAAATTGAGATGCAAACCTATGTCAACTAGATCTTTTAGTTGGAAGAATTTATTATTGCCTGTTCAGAACACTGAAATTGAACTACGTAACTAGGATGGTAACTTTTAAAGAGTCGAATTGAATTTGAGACCATTTATTTAATTATTAGGCCCTGTCCTCTAATTATCTTTTAAGAATTCAACCGAACTTCTTTAAGGCGATAAAATCTTTAAGGCGATAAAAAAATAAACCCTTTTAGTAACCAGCTCCCCGCTCCTAAGCCACGTGTACATCCCCCGACTATCTTCTACACCGCCCAAACTATTCACAAAAGTTGATTTCGCAACACACAACGTAGCTGTGATCTCCACCCTGGGCACACACTCTTTCCATCATTGTATGAAGATAGTCAGGTGGTCATGCATATTGTACATGTTAGTGATGTTAATTTCAGGTCACTGAAAGTCGATATCAGGTCAGTGGTGACATTTGGTTAATGGAGACGTATAGTGCTGTGTTGAGGTACCATCAGCGAAGGAACTGTTTTGGATATATCCAACAGCGTTACAGTGATGTAACACGAACAACTAGCATACAGGTTACTGATTATTGGAAAAGCAGTAAAAATTTCGAATGTTTGTAACTGAAAGTTCATTAACAAGAAGTATAACTGATACCTTGATGAGCAGACCGGGAAACTTCCCGATTGTTTTTTCCTGATTCTACAAATTTCTTGTCTCTTTTGAAAAAGGAACTTTAAATCGAAAATATGGAAAGCATTCATCAAATCCGGGAGAATGTAGGAGAAATTCGTTATCTAGCTTACTTCTTGTAATCCACTTTCACATTTTGGACGTTTCGAATCATGCTTCATTTTGAGTAGTAACATTACACATAAGTATTTAAATGTTTGTATCCGGTGTTGAATCGAGTCATGTTGTGTACTGTTCTTTGATTAACCTTGACGATATTTTATTACAATTCAGATTAATGCGACAACTTCGGGCACATATAACATTATTAGATGTGCAAATCCAACTGAATGTGGTTTAATCCAAATTTTTGTTCCAAATGATCACTGTTGTTATAAACCCAAAATATTACTTATTAACAAAATATTCGCCGATTTGTTTGGCTTTCATGAAAATGAGGAGGTAACAGTGTTTAACTAGTGTTTTACCGCTAACATCTTTAATTCTGAAATGATATTTTCGAACTGCTGGTCTCTGTCGTTAATTTTGAAGTAACATTTTCGAAATACTGATGTAAGTCGAGATTGTTCATGTGATAATGAACTTGATTTATCTAATCAAATTTATTTATAGGTAATTGTTCAGAAGGTAGAAACGGCATCAGTATGCAGTTCATTTGAAGTGGAACTGACCTCAGCAGAAGACTGGAATACTGTCGTATGTTTTATTGTGAAGAAAAATTAAAGTAATTCGCCACAAACATGTTTGCCAATGTACTGAATTTAAGACTAATGTAAGAAATATTTTTACTGTCCATGCAAATTTTTAGATGTGTATAAAATCTGGAAAAAAATCATTAAGATAATTCTTTCAACTATGAACTAGTCAATATCTTTGTTTAATGTATTAACTTCTTCAAATTTTACTACTTGAAAAAAAAGTCAAATTTGATTCGTAACTCGCTGATATAATCTCATTTATCACTACCCCAGCAAAATTTGTCTCATCTCTCACTGTCCCAGAGAAATTTGTTTCATATTCGTTTAATATACATATTAATTTATTTAGGAATTGAAAATGTAGCATGAATAGGAGGTACAAAAAAATTCTATGGGAAAACAGATGCTAATTCTGCACAAATGATAAAGCTTTTAGGTACTTTTAAAATCATGAGATAAAGACATAATTTTGCTGGTTATTGTAGATAACTAGACATTATGGTTCTTCTTGATATAATTGCTTTTAAGAAAAATTGAATAGATTACTTCGAATTTGCTGACATCACATGAAACATTTTTTCAGCAGAATTCAGCACAACGAATTGAAGAATTACTTCTGGAACAAATTCATTTAATTACTGTTGGCCAAACATATCCAGTTTGGATTGGTCAGAATCTTCATATTTATTTCATTGTTGGTAAGCTAAAAGCTTTTTTTTTTGCCTTTTTTATTTTCCGATTTGATGTCGTTTCGTATTTTTCATTGTTATCTTATCTGATAATACTAGCAAACTCTGTACGTTTCCCTTCTATACATTTAATAAATTCTTTTGACCGTCAGACTTTTCTAGTATTTCTTTTGTGTTCCTTTCCCATCTTACACTCACTAGTAGTTATTTTTAACAAATAAATTACTATCTGTTTTATTTCTGTTTTATTTAATTTGTTCACTTATTCAGTTTTTTAATCGATCTATGCAAAGTTGTTGCGACATTTGTTTGTTGGTTGCACGGATCCAGTTTTCTAATTTCTAATAATCTTTTTCTTAAAAGAAGAATTATGTAAAAGATTTTAGGCAGATTGCTTTGTAGTTAACAAATTCGCTGAAGCTATTCTAAACCAAAGTGAGGCGTATAAATATGCAAATCGAAAATACATTGGTTGCTGTAACGTGACTAAGCCACCGATTTCCTTTGCTGATTTACAGAAAATTCAGTTTTGTCCTAGAAAGCTTTGCGCTTTGGTATACTAAACTTAAAAACACATAGAAATTTGCTTAATTCCAATTTCCTGCAACATCTCTGCTATTTTTTTATATGTTAACTTCCACATTGTTCACTCACTTTATATTATGAATAGCAGCTGTTTCGACCCTGACTGATAACCTTTTCATCTCCATAAGAGCTGTCTCCTATACTTATGTATTGGTAAGTAAATGAAGGTGAATAAACTGAAAGCAGATTTCAGCTCGAATCGAAGCATTTTCATCTTTGCTGCAGAGCGCTTGTCTAAGTGAATTTACGGAGATCCATGTGAAGCCCTTCTGTTCAAATCCCAGTAGTCTCGAAAAAAGCATGTCAAGAAACGTTTTGGGAATACTTCCAGTACCATTCACATGTAGAATAAAGGATCTATTCTCGGATTTAGCCTCCAAGCCATTTATGTTCAGGATTCAAGATTATTGTGGTAATGTTCTTGATAGGACTACTGCTCGAGTACTGCCCGAAATACTGATCAACGATACTTTCCTGGAAGAACTGGATATACTTGCTGTCTTTAGACTCAATTTCAGTATGTTTTTTATACACATTTTTTCTCTTATTAATGTTTTCACGTGTTACTTTTAGAAGTTATACGCATCACAAAGAATCAGATGAAACTGTGAAAGTCATGATGCTTAAAAAATAGGAATAAAAGACAGTTCATGGACATATCTATATGACACTGTTAATAGATTGTTTTTTCTATTAGCTGCGGAAATTCCTGTCAATTTTAGATCAAAGTAACTCAGAAATCATCACAATATCAACTGTTTGTAATAGTCAAACGGGTCGGACCGCGCATGCTTTACTTGTTGAACTACCGGTAGCATGTTCTCGTTTTGCTGCATTAAGAGATTGTTTGAAGGTACCGCATTTGCTCTAGCTAGGTTTAAGGGAAATTGAATACTTTTGAGAACGACGTTATAATTTAGTATTTTTTCGGTAGGGCATTTTAATTATTTATTTGCTTTGTTAACGGTTGCTTCGGAAGTCTAACCAACTGTTCAGTTCCTCTATAAAATTCAGTCAGGAAAATTTAATTAGATTGTCGATTTACACGCTTTCCTTCTCTGCATACATCAGTTTGGTTTCTTACTTTATACTGATTAATAGTGAAATAATTTCCTTATGAAACATTTTTACCGTATACTCATTTCTGATAAATTATGTTTCATTGTAGCGATATGACCCTCATCATTGTGCTTTTTCACCTGGATTGTATCAACTTATGAACGGAGAATATGAATGGATTAAAGTATCTCCCTTACCAAAGGATCACATTCATCAACTTGAAATTCTTGAAGTAATTTCAGAAGTTAGTGCATTTGTCTCTATAAATTTACATACCATAATTGAGTCCAATTCCCTTTAATTTAACGTTTTTAAACTCCATTGTATGATTTAGGGTAAGTTACCTGAGAATTTCAATGAGTGTTTACGAAATCATTTGTGGAAGACTTGTCGACATTGTCCAATCATTGTTCCAGTTGACGGGCTCAAAGTGGAAATGAATTTATCTCGTAAGTTTGGATTAGATTTTAAGATCCTCTATAAGTTTAATGCTTTTGATTTTACTAGAGTGCGATTGTTTCACGGCTAATACACTTATCTTGTCTCTTCAACTACTTTAATCATTTGTATGTGTGTCTTTTTCTATTAATATTTACATTGTCCACAAAATTGAAGACTGACAAAAAGGCATTCAGCAGATATATTTCAAAATTAAGGAAGATAAAATATTTTGTAGACAGATCTCATATACAGTGTCGGATTCGGCCTCACCTTGATGAGGAAAAAGATGACGGGTCTCGAAAATGTTTCGTCTTCACTAACGATGTTTTTCCCCTGCTTGAATATCGGGTAAATGAAACATTCCATAATGATAATTTGTATTT